GAGAGAGAAGCAAATGGGGGCTGCTGGGGCTGGGAAGGAGTAGAAAGGGAACTGGTGGGACTGGGAAGGTGCAAATGGGAACTGGTAGGAATGGGGCTGAGACTGGGAAGGTGCCAGTGAGAACTGGTGGGACTGGGACTGGGACTGGAGATGGGAAGGTGCAAAAAAGGAACTACTGGGACTGGAGATGGAACTGGGAAGGTGCAAAAAGGGAACTGGTGGGACTGGGACTGAGAAGGTTCAAAAAAGGAACTGGTGGGATTGGGAATGGGGATCGGACTGGGACTGGGAAGGTGCAAAAAGAGAACTGGTGGGACTGGAGATGGAAATGGGACTGGTAATGTTTCTTTGCTTGTCACCTGTTTTGGAGAGCAGCCTGGGGCCTCTGTGGGGAAAGGAGTTTGGAGGGGTGCTCTTAAATTTTGTAAGAATTCTGTGGTGGTTGTTGTGTGCCTTCAGTTTGTTTCTGAGTTATGGCGACCCTTAGGTGAAGCTGTCATGGTTTCCTTGGCAAGATCTGTTCAGAGGAGGTTTGCCATTGCCTTCCCCTGAGGCTGAGAGAGAGTGACTTTTTGCCCAAGGCCACCCAGTGGGGTTTCCATGGCTGAGCCAAGATTCGAACCCTGGTCTCCAGAGTCATAGTCCAATGTTCAAGCCACTGCGCCACGTTGCCTGATTTTATTTTCTCCCCACCCCCTCAGTCTTGAAAATATGGAGTGAAATGGGCCATTGGAGGGGTCTGGATGGGCAATTTTGTCAAGTGGTGAGAATACAAAGGAAGTTTTGTGAAAGAAAACTCCTTGTTTCTGGATTGGGACTGCATCCGCACCGCAGAGATAATCCAGTTTGACACCACTTTAACTGTCCTGGCTCAGTGCTATGGAATTCTGGGAACTGCAGTTTTGTGAGATATTTAGCCTTCTCTGTCACAGAGCTCTGGTGCCACAACAAACTACAAACCCCAGGATTCCATAGGAAGGAGCCATAACAGTTAAAGCAGATTGTTTCCACACACCAATCTCCTCTTTTGGCCTCGGCTACTCAGAAAGATATATAGAAGTAACTGGAAAACATATTTTGGCTGCATCCGCACTGCAGAAATAATCCAGTTTGACCCTACTTTAACTGCCATGTCTCAGTGCTGTGGAATCTTGGGACTTGTAGTTTGTTGTGGCCCCAGAGCTCTTTGATAGAGAAGGCTAGCCAAATCCCAGGATTCCATAGCATTGAGCCATGGCAGTTA